CCAATTTATTTACCTTCCATATTGCTACAAACTGTTTATTCTAACCAATGCTGTAAATATATATTTTTCTGATGTTCTGCATTACAAGTGGCATCTATTGCACTTCTGTCTGTCCTGGGAGAGGGATCCCTCACATGTGGCTCCCTCTGAGGCTTCCGCTTTCTTTTTCCTCTGTTAAAAGGGTTTTTTTCAGTGGATCGAAATACTTGGCCTTTTTATATATAAAACACAATTTCAGTAGTTCAGGCAGTCAACTCGAGCTGCACTGCTCCAATCATGTGACATACATCATGTTACATACCTCACTCTCCACAATCATCTATAACACACACACACCTTATTAGGTGGTCTATTTAAGCAGAGGGAATTCCCATCATTCCCTTTGTCAGTATTCTGGAGTTTCTTCAGCCCCTCCACCACTCCAGCATCCACCTGTAGCCTCTGATGGTGGTTATAAGTATTTGCTCATCAGTGATCACTACCATCATATCTATGTCATCATATCTGGGGGAGTGATCAAGTTGGAACCTAGATGCCAAACTCTAACCTGTTCTACTGTTATAATAAACATTTTAATCTGACTAAAATGTATTACTGGCTGCCTAATCAAAAGAAACACCTGAACTGAAAAGTGGAAAAACACAACAAATACAGTGCATGAATGATAAGCATGTTTCTAGATCTCAAACCAGTTGAAGGAGACTTGTAAATGAGACTTGGATCTCTATTTTCCTTCAGACAGAATGCCTGCAGTCACAGGGCCAAGGTAGCTTTTATGCAATTATGAATTTATTACTGTAACCTGGCTGCAGATTAGACATTACTTTTCATAAACTAATGTTTGAGTCATTATTTAGTGGCATTTTATCCTTCCATGTTGAATCCACAGCATAGGTAAGATGTGAGTCGGCCATATCTGTGGGCCCTTTATGTCATAGCATGCAACAGAGGTTGATGTACCTACAAATTACAGACCACAACTGTGTCCACTTGGTTGCATGTCTCATCACCCACACAAAACTCAGCCCCCTTTGCCTCTATCACTTCAGTGGTTACACACAGGTAAATGTTGTTCACCACTTATTTACTCCAACTTATCATGTTTAGCTCAGTTTTTGTCTCCATATTTTGATGTACACACACACCACCTCCAACTAGCATATTGGCGGTATAGAGTATAAATGCTCACAATGACACAGATACTGGTTTCTCTGTAGGACTGATGAAGAGTCTGCAGCAATTGCGTCTGTATTCCTACCACTTATAATGTTTCTTGCCTCATATGGTCACTTGAATAAAAAATAAATGTATTTCAGGCCCATTTGTATAACAGCACATTGCAGGCATGCAATGGCTCTTTCATTGTCTGCTTTTTGCTTCAAATTAGTCATCCATCTATATACCTGACAGACACCTCTGTTTGAAATCTCCGTAGAGGATCCTGTTGGGGAAACCCTTTCTGCAGATCCTGATGCCTTCCTCCTCACCAGGGGATTCTCCATGGCCCCAGGAGTCTTGGTCTCATTGGGGATGATGCAGCGTACAACGTGGGGGTGAGTAGACCTCAAGTTGGTCATCAGCTTGTTCAGGTTCTCCTGTAAGTGCAGGAAATTACCATTACCATTGACAAAAATAAGCAGCATAATATTATGTATCATGTATGGTCCTAAACTGAAGATATTTTAATTTATGTAATCGATTTTTACCCCATCTAAGGCTGATACAGTCTGGAAAGATGAACCTGTCTTCTTGCTACCACCTTTACCCTTCCCACCAGATTCCTGAGCTAAATAAAACTTTCATCATTAGACTTTTAAATGAAGACATGTTTTAGATGCTGGGATGACAAACAGTAGTAACAGTAGTAACAGTAGTTGAAACAATTCAAGAGGGGTGTCATCTTCAAAGATTTTTCACACTGCACAATAACCATTAATAAAACTAAGTCAAGTTACTTAGTTGGTGAGTCATCAAACTACATTTGATATAGATGTATTGTTTTCAAGCTCTCATAAAAGATTTCAAATCCAGCAATGTCCAGCACACCAGAAGTACGGCTGTTTGGTGTCCAGGGAGTGGTTCATTCTTATTACCAGCCACAGAAACATCTTCTCATACATTGCATTAGACAATGCCCCAACAGCACAATTCACCTAACAAGACACTGCTTTGAACCTTTCTGGACTTTTTCGAAATTAAACTAAAAATCATACTCTCTCACCTGGGCGACATTTTGTCCCTTTGGATCCTTTCAGGATCTATGGAAAGATTGCATTGATTCATCAAAGTCATCACCTTGCCTGTCACAAGTCACACGTCTCTTACCCTCAGTGCCATCAGCCTCGGCCTGCTCCTCTGGCTGCTTCTGCTTACATCATGGTAACAGAAACTTCATGTTACCACGATGCATTATGGCTCCAGTCAGCTTGTACACACTGTTCTTTTCTTCTTGAGTGAATCACAGTACATCAAATACTTTCTGAATGAGATAATGCAAGATACAAATCTCATTCCGGGCTTTGTAAACGCTGATTTATAAATTTAGATTTTACTAGGGCGCAAAGACACATCAGTGGCCATCAGCTCTTCAGAATCATTGATGGATGCTACTGTTGTCTCTACTTGGGAGATGAAGGCGTAGTCGTAGGGGTTATTGGTGATGAGCAACATGTCTAATAAGAATATATACAAATATCTGGATGACAGGTGAATCTACCTTAGGAAGGGTAGATTTTGAAAGAGATTTTACTCACAACTTTCAAAATCAGCAGAGGTACGCTTTCCACGATTGTCCAAATGAATTCTGATACATTTTACCAAAAAGGACAGAGAAATGTTTTTCAGTGAAATTGATTCAGTCACTTCACAGATCAATTTTTGCAGTCACACAGAAACTCACTAATCTAGAGGAGTTGTTGTTCCTGATGGTTTTATTTTTGCATAAGTGGTGTCAGAATGTGTTATCTGACATAAAGGTCTTTCCTCAAATAAATAAACTGAAATAATATTTGCAGTGGTTCATTATTCATATACTATAGTGAGGTCGTTAAGTTAACTGAGACACAGATCAAACAAATGCTTTAACAAAAAATATTGTGAGCGAGAGATTATAAAAAAAAAAATCTGAAACCTGCACAAATTTCAGTCTGGACTGAAATTGCAGGACCATATTCATGATTAAAGATATTTCAAACAGAGTCAAAGTGGCATTTACCTTGTGTGGTTTGGACTGTAAAGGAGACCAGTATCACTCGGGGTCTCACTATTCAACCCATTATTCCACTGATGCTACCATCAAATCACCATGTATTTCCACAAACAAATTATATCACATAAAAACCTCCACCAAAACCAAATGACAAAAAGGCATATTTTTGAAAACCTATTAGGTTAAAAGTGCCACAGTTTGATCCCACACATCAATATTAATGTTTGCTTACCTTTGACTCTCAACCTATAATCAAGAGAAGTGATCAGCCCCGTCACTGACAGCCGCCCTCTCTCTGTTAATAAGGGTTGTTTATCCAACAAAAATGGGATGAAATCTGGGAGAAAGATTAAAAAGCGTTAGCCAAATTGGGCAGGATGCACTGTTGCTATTTGTTGCTCTCACCTTGTGATAAACACAGAGAGGACATTGCAAAGGGAGGAGAGGGCACGAGGTGGGGATCAGGGACAGGCTGATATCAAATGTCTCCAAT